CATATAGATCTGATGATGAGCTTCGGAGACAGACAACGGAACGGAACGGAACTCTTCAAAAAATCAACCGCGATTACTGCTAGCTTTTTAGTCCTCTTTGTTAGTATTGCTTGAAGTCGGTTCGACTTTTTCTTAAATAGGATTTATTTGTTTATATCTGGACCAAGATACAATTATATACAAGCAATGCACACATGTTGCTTTGGCCGGCGATTTTGCGACATCACTGATTCATTGTATATATCGCAGGCAGCGTCTAAAGTCTTGAACTAAATCTTAATACCTTTATGTGTAAAAAATCATACGATACGAATCATTCAATCATAAGAATAAAATTATTATTATAATTCTATTTATTTATCTACACGTCATGCAATTTACAGCACTGTCTGCCTATAATATATCTAAAGGTCACCGCATCTCGTTGCGTCGTCTTGACCAATGTTTGGCAGTACAGTCGACTTAGATAAAATCAATCAATAGCGTGGCAGTTAGGTGGTATATTACCTTTACGGCCACTGTTATTTACACTTTGAAAGAATTTTTAACTAATATTCTTGGACCACGACCATTTTGGATTACGACTCATATGAGACAAACGCTCAAATAAGTCTTGCACTCTAAAATAAACTCTGTCGCCTTTTTCGCCGCTTGGCTGCCTTTTACTACACTGGATAATAAAATATAAAGTCATCTAAAACAACCTTCCGTCTCATCAGTCTTAATACCGAAAACAGAAGCCCGATAGATAAGATTTAGACGCTATTGTTCCTCAGAGTGCAGAGCGTTGAAATTTGGAGAGTCCGCGTTGTCTACTATCGACAAGTGAACCCCAGTGAAATTAACTAAATTAATTTAAAGGAACTTAATTACTACGAATACAACAGAGCAATATGTCTTAAATCTAGAAACACGTAATAACGTTTACATTCAGTAAAATTGTGATAGCTTTGTTTTATGATCTTGGATTGAACCTTGAGTATCTAATACGATATTCTTAATCCACATTAGGAATACTCCAATTTGAAATACAATAAAAATTTGATTCAGCAACAGTATACAAGCCCATGGATAGAAATAACTTCGAGATAATCCTTATAAATGGTAAGTGTGTCCGTAACTTGTTAAAATGGGATAGATACGAATATTATGTTTTTCTGTAGCAAATAAAGAGCGGAAGAAGAAAATAAAAAATATATATATAAGAAAATAAAAAAAATAAAAAAAGTTCTGAGACACATTGCACATGCTATCTAGAACCCTAGAATTTGTGCCAGTTAGAAACAATAGTTATTACCGGTTTAGCAATACAAATTTGTGATACTATATTAACTTATTATAATAGCTTTTACGTATATGACCGTTATGGAGGTGAAAAGTAGCTATTGTTAGTTGATGAAAATGAAGCTTTCCATCGGTGAAAGAATTTTAAAATGTGTGTAATGATTTACTTTCACATTTATAATATAAAACAATGAATATTGATCTCATTAAATCTTATTTAACGTATAGAAAACCCCTTTTTATGTTTTTTTTTTCTGTGTGGAAATCCCCTCGGATACCACCCACCGGTGGACTCGAACCGACCAAAAACCGCACGCTGTCTCGGGTACCAGTTGCCGGGGAATCAGGTGTACCCTAGGAAGAAAATCCCTGATACCCTGACGTACCTCGGGCCCTCTACGGCGTGTAGATGACACCCTCCTGTGTGGTGACCCCTATGTCACCTTTGGGTTCCCGAAAGGAGCGCGTCTCGCCACCGCCGCCCTAAGAGATCTAGATATCTCTATTTATCTGCTCCTTAAATATTATTATTCTTGTTTTTTTTTAGATACTTACACAACTTACACAACAATAATTTAATAGTCTTAATAAACTGTTATTAATATTTTTTATTGCTTGTGTTGTTGAGTGTTATTTACTTTAATTATATTAGATTACATAGTAGTTTTTTATTATTAGATTACATAGTAAGTGCTTGTTGCTACTTTAGTTTGTATGCTGTAGTCTCCTGTAATTGAGGAAATACATGGCATCATTAATGGTTATTAAATACTGTGATATTACTATGTATATTCTTTATTGGAGACGCAAAATAAATAAATAAAGGATGGACTATTAAATGTAGATACTTACAATTTGTCAACGACTAAAATCTTAGCATTAGTAAGCGTACGATTGTCACTTCTTTGGTTCGTAAAATGTGGAGTACTCTAGGAAACGAAAGAAATTTAATTCCGACGACGACGCTTCGCTAAAATTATGTTATCTTCCATATTTTTGCAAATCATTGTCCAATAGTAAGAACATCGGGATAATGATAGGGTTATATTACATTATACACATAGATTTCTAGTTAACTTAATCCGAATTTTCGATTAATGTTTAAATCCATATTCATATATGTAGAACCAGTTCTAATGAAGTGCTTCTACATACATGAATATGGTAATAATCTGATAATGAAGTTGTGATTGAGAAGAGGAAATCACACGGTATGTTACTAACGCAGTCAGAAAATTAATTTACGGTTAACTTTCAAATCAAGATAGCTTCAGCCCTTATATTCCTATCGAAAATAGGGTCTTTATTGTTTTACTTTTTCTACATTGACGATACACTATGAAATGTTTTGTTCCCCTGACGTCAACACAAAATTTAGTGCCGATCGGTTGAGTATTTAATACAGTAAATCTTTACAATAAAAAGATATTTGTATTTATAATAGGATTTGGGATCAGTACATTGAATTTCCTATCCTTAACTATCATAATAACCTTACAATCGAATTCCAACTCTATTAAATGCGTCCATGTGTCCTTTTCCGTATCGGGGCTCAGGTGTCCACTAAATTGTTTCGCTATTGGACCGTTCTGATACTTTGTACTTGTGTCCCCCCGAAGACTATTAACTAGTTCCTTATTGTTTATTTGTTGTCCATTTTCTTTAACATCCGTTTTAATTTTTAGAGTAGTATTTCTTTTTAAAACCTGTTTTATTTGTAAATGCTGTAAAAAGAAGGTTTTGTATTTGATGGTATCTACGAATACATCCTGCATCGCGGGATACTTCATAGACATACATGAAACGGACACAAAATGTTGTCCCATGTGAGGTTCGAACCCTCAACAGTCAGCACAGTAAGAAGCGGCACGGTGTCCGCTTAAACCACTACTCCATCCATACAGTCATTACCAGTTTTGGACTCATACTCGTATATTTCTAAATACGTGTAAAATATATATAAGTTACAGCCATACCTAGAGCAAAAATCCTGTTAACATTACGCGGGTGGGGTAAAATACAGCACAGACTTCACGCTTGGCAGTTCGAATCGCTAACTACTAGAAGAAGAGGTAGGTTAATATTGTATAGATAAATTATTTATACTTTTCCTGGAATCAATAGGAGTAGTGAACATGGAATAGCCTTCCTATATCTATATAAGGCTGTCTAAGGGCAAGGGTAACTCCTTATCTTACCCCCTTTTATTACGTCTTAGCTTGAGTAGGTCTTAGGTCATTAGCCAACCTGATGGCTGTTCCGTGGTTTCACAGGTATAGCTTGTTCCAAAAATTTAATATTTCCAAGCAACCTACAAATAATCATTTTAAAAGCATGGCGGCATGATCAAAGAAAGTCAGAATAGTGTGTGATAACCACTTGCTTACATTATCACGATTCATAGAAGTGAATTACCTGACGGAGATGTTATATACTAGCATTCACCGGGGACTTCACTTGTATGAAAATATGTATTTTGATCCCCCGGAAAGAATATTTTTATTTGATATCTTACTATTCTATACTCCTAAACTCCTCAGTGAACGCTTAATTTCGTGTCTAGTTAGTAGTGTAACCAACAAAGATATTTATATTATTACTGGTTTTAGCCCGCGACTTCGTTCAAGAAATAGTTTTTATCACGTTTTAACTATTCTAGATGAAAGCTATATATCCTTGTCTTTACCACTGTTCATTCAAAAAAATTGATGATCGGTTAAGTAGTTAAAACATGAAACTATAAAAAATAAACAACGAAATTTAAAAAAACGCATTTGTAATATCAGTTTAAGTAATATTTACTTGCCTAATCATAGCGATCGATAAACTCCATTTTCCCTCAACTTATAATGCTGAATATAGTGCTCACTTGAATTATACCTTTCACTATACAAAAATGGTCTATCATCCCGACCTTTCACCTCGATTTCTTTTCAAGAGCTCTCAGGTAATACACATCAGAATAAAGTTCTTCAGGTTCACGCCTACTGAAATCACATCATTTTATGAACATAGAAAATTTGAGTTACGTATTCGACTCGATCAACATTTGCGTCTGAATTCGATGCTTTATTATGTACTTGCTCGCACTTCACTTGTCTAATAAAAATGGCTATGTGATTTCTCTGAAGGAAATGAGTATGAAATTCTTCGAATAATAACGTGAACGACATACCTAAATTTTAGAATTAAACGTATATCTGCACTTAGTTTACTGTTTTTATATCAATGTATGAATCGTCCTTATTTTGAGAGGCTCTATTTTATATTTGTCAACTGTTTTTACCCTTGACCTAAGTATCAACGATTTCAATGCCAACTTATATTCGGTCACTTACATTCTAAACTCTATTGTTTTAGATTTACATTAGAGTATAATGTACCTATTATTCATTCCTCATATTTAGATCAAAAGGGAAGAATATATCCTTCCAAATAAAAAGGAATGAACGAAATCGGTTCTGAAATGACGGACTTCTAAGGTAACCAACACGTTATGAAAACTTCCTTCTTCTTTTATAGCCAGTTAAATAAAATAATTCACGTTCTAATTAAAAGTAGCAGAATCGTCTATATCCAAACTACGGAACTATAAAAAAAATGGATGAATGATTGAAATCAGATACTTCAAATCGGTCATTCCAAATTGACGTAATATAAACACACACTGCAAAATTTAAGTTCGCAAAATTTTATCTGAAATAGTGGAAACACACATGCTAAAAAAGTCTAAATTCAGAGCTGCTGTAGCGGCTCTTAAACATAAATTACCATGGTTTAAAGTGACTGTACCCAGTAAAGTAAAGTTCACGACCAAGATCACAAAAGAACAAATTTGTATTTGTACTATTGTAACAATCCTGTACCTCATGGTAAGTACATTTAGAGATGTTAAAATAACATATGTTGTTATGCTCAAGTCTTATTTCCCTCCGAGTTCAACAGAGACGATAAAGCGCCATTTACCGAACTCCTAGCCTACAGCTTGTGACTTTTGTCCATTCATCAGATTCACTGGAAAGAGCTGCTATTTATTTGGCCTCTTTAAGACTAAAGGTTATAGCTCATTAAAGCCACCCGACACCCTACCACCACCGCCTCGCCCCGAGCAGTTAGTATTCTTTGTGTTGAGTGCTATGGGTATACGTATACGCTCACTACATTAACTCCGGAGCCTCATGCTCGCGGGTTGACCATGTGCGAACGGCGGGTGGACCACTCGGTGACCGCGCGCTGTGCGCCAGTGATTCTCGTGCGGAAGGTGCATCAGCGACACACCGCTCCCCCTCAAAAGTGGAAGTCGTATCGTTTTCTGGTTAACAACGCGGTGTCCGCCCGTGGACTACCTGTCGACAATGAGTTAACATCGAGTAACGAGGTGATGCAAGTCGGGTGTCGGGTGGAGCTATGACCTTTAATCATGTGTGTTCAAAAATTTTGAGCAATACAAAGAATTGGCCTTTTGTGAGCTTTACCTGAAGCTAAAGCACACCAAATATTAAAACATCATCATCATCTACACACACGGCATGAATAGGGGTGGTGACACTCCGTTTTTTTTTAAAAGGTAACTCGCATTAGGAATATATCCTGTGTCGCGGGGGACATTACAAACAATCATGGAATGGACACAAAGAACACCCAAACTCATAACAACAATTTGTGGATCACACAAAGTGTCTTCCCGTGAGGGGATCGGACCCACAACACTCAGCGTTGTAGTAAGCGGCGTGGCGACCGCTTAAACCACTACGCTATCCGTGCAGTCACTACGCCATCCGTGCATCCGTGCGCATTCTTAATCTGTCACCACACAGACACACATAAAATAACAATACGTAATTTCGTGGTGAGCTACAAAAGCTTTCTTATTCGTTCAATTGAAAGGAGATAATTTTGCCCTTGGAAGGCGACAGCATACTCTGGCGCGAGTTGCTAGCGTGTCGCTTCCGTTTATTTTACAGTAATGGCGGCCAGACGGCGTAGTGGTTTGTGTAACGGACTGCTACGCCAAAGCTCGCGGGTTCGATTCCCGTTCAAGTCAAACATCTGTGGGCATGAACGTTTAATGTTTGATTTGGTCTGTGTGTTTCTGTGTAGGTTAATATGAATGTATTTCCAAGAAGAAATAATTAATATCAGTTTTCTAGAACTCATAGCAAACGCTCTGGTTAGTTTAGGACTAGATGGCGTTATGCGAATGTGGTAGAATATCATATCGCACCTTTAAAGACAAACCGTTACTAAACGAAATTTTTGGAGAATTGAGTTATTAATACCATCTTTCTTAAAACTACGTAAACTATACGATGAGTTTGACACTGTTCAAAAAAATCCAATTTTAGACATAGATGGTGTCGGTTTTGACCGTTACAAAACTAAATAAGATTTGCTTGCTAAATGCAATATCGTCTATACTAATTGTGAATTATTCGTTAAAGAGTGATGACGGAAGTTTAGTGACAACTTGCTGTGGTTTAAAACTAGATACTGAATAAAGGCTGATTAATAAGACATCCTAGCAATGCTAAAGATTTAAGTGCCATAATGTCAAAGAAATGTATGGATCTCGCGTTTTAAATGAGAATAAAACATTGATTAGAATGTGTTATTTTATTTATCTGTCCAGTTACAATTTGAGCAAATGCTAATTATAATATTTTCAATTTAGTAGTATTGTAAAATCATTATTATAATGGGTTTTCAAGTATTTTTATATTTTGTTACATAATTTATATGGGGATTTTACAATAATTAATCATAATTGAAAAAAAAATAATGGAAAAGTGTTACTATAAAAATTTAAAATCGTAATTAACAATGTTCTATTAAAAAAAAATAGCTTTTCTGAATTTAATGTTATAGTGTAAATAAATATCCATCATTATGACCATAAAGAATGGCTCAAACCACCATGATCTTAAATGCTATTGCAAAAAGGTCCTGCATTTTTCTTATTTTAGCTCCTGTGTAAAATTGTATATTTTCGTTTAGAAACGGTTTGTCTTTAAAGGTGCGATATTATTAATAATAGATTTCGCTGTTTGATATTTTTTATATTTTTAAACAAAAGTCCAATTGCAGTCGTTTGCAAGGTACACTGTCTCCTTTCGTTTATTAGTCAGTTGCTTGAGAACGTAACTGTGCCAGTGTTTGTAAAATTAAACATTCGAACGCGCAGTTAGAAAAATATAAAGTTTATATATTTATTTTCATCTGATTATACTATTTATAATCATTGCAAATACTGCAGAAATGGTATGTCTAAACAATTGTTTTTTTGTATTAAATAAACAACAAATAAACACAGCTGTTTATTTGTTTGCAAAGAAACTTCAAAACTATTAATTGTCTACACACTAGATTCGTCAATTTTTCGATAATTATAATAGAAAAAACTCGATAAGATTTTCTTATCTCTGCAACAATGAAAGACACAATTGCTGTAACCGAAAATAAATCAGTATGATTAGTAATTTTTCATCTTGAAGGTTTAATTAGAAAGTATGCATATCACACTGCCCAGATTTTCAGATCATTACACGTATTACCTCAAAGAAATTGAACATTGGAATATGCAGTTATATTTTTATCAAGTACATCATTTATGCCACACACCTCATTCTGGCTTCCCTTGGATTTCAATGCATCTCCGAATCTATTGTGTGGTATGACTTAAACGGCTTTCACAGAAGCTTGTCAATGGATTTGAGGGCACCCCCATTATTGAGTTGTGTATAGGTATATCCATTTGTGTGAGGAAATTTCGAACGACTTTAAATCCATGTCTTGAATTTAAAATTGGACTTGGGTCTTTTGCTTGGTTTCGAGATGAGGCGTAAATACAATATAAGCCATGCAGGTAGATAAAGCAAAGCTAAGGAAAAGTAATATTATCGGGGAATCAGATATCTTAGAAGATATATGGATATCTTGGGCGATATTTGCACCGGGCAAAGGAAAAAAAAAGATTCAAGGGAAACAGCCCAAAACAGTTTTTGTTCACGAGTAAAATTACTATTAAAATTAAAGGAAGTTGTCTTAAACTTGTTTCATGAGGAAGTTACCTGATTGATAAACTTGAAAGTATACAGGAGGAAGGTATATTGGAGAGAGAGTAATTAGGTAATATCAACAAGAATGTTTGTTTCCTAAACGCAGGGAGGATGTACTGAAACGTACTAGCGCTGTCTCGTGAAGGTTCTTTCCTGTAAAGTGGTTTTTAAGAAACATCACCTATAATATATACTCTTAATATTCTTTCTTTTATACATACAAGTAGTTATGATGAGTGTTGTATATTGACTCCAGGACTTGACAGGATGGAAGTCGCGCAGCAGCTGCGGATGGATTACACTGTACACAGATTTTAAATTCATTTTCTGTAGTTCATTCAGCATTAATGTTGTGCAACCATTCGTACCGCTGAGCACTGGGCCAAAACCGTTTATAGTATTGCCAACGATACGATAAGAAGTTATACAACGAGTGTATGTGTGTCTGTTTTATTTCAGCATTGTATAGGCTATGTCAACGAATCAGACGACTACTATGGCAAGAAACAGTAAACATTTGTATGTAAAACCAGTTGACTCATAAAAAATTCTGAACCCTTTCACAATGCTACTGCATTAAGTGTTTAATCTAACGTAAAGAACAAATAGTGGTAAGTTTTGGCCAAATCATGTTCATTGTTCTTTATTAGTTATGAGATCTTGTGTTACTGAAATGATAATTCTTTCTTGTACTACTCTAATTCTTAATAATGAAATATCAAAGAAGAAATCTATAATAGCATAGGAGACAACCTTACATAAAGCTTTTTAATAAATCCACTAAAAAACCTTCAGAGTATTCCTATAATATCATCTTGGTGGCTGTCAGATATTCAGTATCAAACTGCGCCAGCTTCCACAGCCTCCATTAAGCGATTTAATATTATTCACATTCTTTTTTCAAAGACGTAATTGCTGCGAACATTTCCGCTCATTTGATCGTAACAAAGTGTCTTGGAAATATCTAGATCTGCATTTTAATATTTCCAATGCTATCTTTGCGGGCTTCAAACACCCATTGTATAAATCCCTCGGACGCACGCTTTTATCTTTGTCTCCATAGTAAATACGAGATGGAGTCCTCCTAACGCCCCGAGATTTTCTCCCCAAGATATCTGATAACGATCGAGTTCTGGACGATTTTAAACTTTAAAATGGTTGTTTTAGAAATATTTTTTCTCTAATTTCTTTCCTACAGTCTATTCCAATTTATTCTCTTCAATAGGAAATTTGTTCCTCTTTGATTGTACTCCAGTGTAACTTAGAACTTACTAATAGATTTTCGGTTCCGAATACCAATTTAATTTTCTTTTGTCTAGGAAATCTTTTAATTATTACATTCTTTAATGAAATTATTTGAAACTTATCTTTGATACGTATAAAAAATCTAAATAATCCATTACCAACAATGTATATGTATGTTTTAACTTTGAAATCAGTTTAAAAAAAAACGAAACCAATTTCAATATGTTAACAAACAAATAGATACATATTTAGACATGAATATAGCTTCCAACAATTTCTTTCAAGATTATTTTGATTGTCTAACGATTAACAATAAATGTGATTCTCATTTTCAGATAAATTGTCATTTACCTGACAAGAACTGTGAGCAAAAACCTATGCAGCATTAGTTACTGTTGAATAGAATATTGTATTACTCAACGGTTTGTAGTAAAAAGATGAATAGTTCTCCAGTGGCTAATGGTTGACATGTCGAATTGTTCACGTAAAATAATGATGTCATTTATAATCATTAAGGTTGTAAGACTATTTTTATAAAAGAAATTTAAATAGTTTTGCACCACCTTTGTAAATTATAGAATATATAAATTAGAATAATTAATTTAACAATAATTAAGACTACTACAATATTTTTTAGCGTAATGGAGAACTGAACTAGTTTGTATTTTGTTTTGAATTCTAATATTTTTTGAACCAGTCATTGAATGTACAAAAATAATGACGATAGTTCTCCTATATCATATTCCTTTAACTTAACCTTCTGGAAATGTGGCTGTCTTGTTGGTTGGTAATCCAGACTACAGTCTGGAGGTACAGGCGAGAATTGCTATTTTGCTACCGCTGCTCAACTAGCAGCAAAGAAAAGTAATTTGGTGGTGCATTTGTGTTTAAACTCTGATAAGATTTTATTTATTTGTCAACATTTTAATTATATTTTGCCAATTTCAATGTGTGTTTTATATGAAAACTATTTCATCCCAAATAATAAGAACTTAACTTTGAATAGAATATTCGACTTCAATACGCCTACATCACGGTGAACTGTAAAAAAGTGTATTCTGTATTCCCTAATTTTCAGCATCAGGAGTGAGATTTGTTCTTAAAACTCGAATGGAATAAAAAACAAACCAAAATCCAAATCGGTTCATAAAAAACGAAGTTCTGAATTAACATACAAAAAAAAAATACAAGCGAATTTAGAAGCTTCACCTTTGTTTGAACTCGGTAATAAATGTAGTTTTTGAGGTACGTTTTACTAAACACAACCAGAAAAAAATTGGGTGTGATTAGAGAGGCCGGCTAAGAAGCTATATTGATTACATCCCGTCATGCACTGCCTACGAATTAATACTGTTTTCATAGTCATTTAAAACATAGACCGTCCTTTTAACTTTGTAATTTAAGTCTGGATGGAAGGTTTAGTCGTCAAAGCAGAAGGGTTACAGTAGTGTTTGGTCAAAGGACTAACCAGTAGTCAGGATAAATATACTTTTAATTGTTGTTTTAGTCTTTTTGCTTTAGGAATCTTACTTAAGTTTTCTATTGCGGTTTATGTGTTCACGACTTAGTTGGAATTAAAACAGCTAAATGTTTTTTTACAACTTTAAGCACTTGTATACATCGGGCATTCTTTACCAGCCAACCTTTGGTGTAGAAATATTGTAGGGTAGGTGCACCATCAATTCGTCTGGAGACATGCCGCTTCAGAGGCGTGATAAAGACAATTGAACATCGATAAAATAAACGATAAAAGAAACAAAACCAGAATATATGTTAAAGAATTGGGTGGAAAGTCTTTGCATATAAATGATTAATTTGAACTAAAGCACGAGTCGAGATAAACAGGCTATTTCACTTACGGAATAGGCGATACAGATGGGAGACCAATTCGACAGTATAAAGAAATTACTGCAATGAGTTCCTTATCAAATTTTCATCCAAACACACATACATACAAAGTTGAAATATAATGCACCTAAATTTAACATTAAAAAAATACAAAATCAATAAATAATTAATATATTTCGTAACACTCTTAAACAGTTACAGTTACAGGTATTGATTCTTTCTTGTTGTTGTTACTTTAATTTCGTCCTGTGTATAAGGTAATTGGTACACCTTTAATACTAAGAAATGCTTTGGTGTGCATGTCGTAAACCTTCAACTAATTTTGTACTGCAGAAATTCTGCCACTAATAAGTCTTCGTGTTGTTCCAAGGCGGGGGGAATTTGTGTTAAATTATAAAGCTTATTAAGCATCGTTCCCTTGTGTGTCGTAACCTACCACAATGAAATGCACCAATGTACAGTACAGCGGTAGGTAGGTTACTCCATCCAAGTTTTGCCTAAACATCGCTTGAGTTATGTATTTGGTTATGTACAAGTGCCGCGTCAGATTTTGATTAATTAAATTTTGAATGCGACCTTTTTCATTTTCTGCTCGTCTAGACGGGAGCTATGGAGACATCTCGAGTTTCATAACCTTGAAGAATTGTTTTGTATAATAAGGGTATCTGAGTGGTAACGGTTAGCATTCTACCTTCTTGTAAAATGAGTTAGGGATTAAAGACTTATTTGAGTGCGAAGCTGTCTTAAGACAGATGTTGCTTTGACATTTCGTGGTTACTAAAGGGCACTAGAAAAAAAATGTAAATTTGGAATTCAAGAATGATAAAAAGATAGTGATATTTTAAATTTATTTTCAAATAATAATAGTATAACTAAATGTAATGGATAATTCTGGTCACAAAAACGACGATGACGTGCATGACCAAAACGAGCAAAATAATAATGAACAGAGTGAGCAATGTTCGAACCGAAACACAATTACCGAACACAAAGATGATGAGGAGGCTACCACTTCAAAAAGAATACCGTTCGATGGTAATCCTGAGGCGAAATGTGATAATATGAATGATTTACAAGCCATTGACATAAATTCTGCAGACACAGTAAGGTAAAGTACTGTATTAAAGATATAGAAACATGTATTTAGTACGTAAAATAATAAATACTTAAACTTCCTAACAGATAAGTGAAAATTCAGTACAATCTTTACAACAAGATTTTCTCTTTGCCAGTGCTGTTATTTAGTAATGTGCTTTTGTAATTAGTAATGCAGTGTGTACTTAGACATATCCGTGTCCTATACCTTCCTTGGGTTACGTTGCAGCTATAAGCAGGATCTTCAGACCCTTAAAGAAGAACCTCTCATGGAGGCTTTATATATATAGTCAAAGAGGAATGATTATGAAACAGTCAATTGCTTCTAAAGCAGAAACATTCATTTTGCATCGTTAGGTCTTTAAAGGATGTCGCGCTAATAAGCGTTGCCCACAGGTAAAAAGGGGACTTTTAAATTATAATACAGTTTATTCTTTTATTATTAGCCAGACTCTCAATGAGTGAAATATAGTAGAGATACCCAGTTACTTTTATCCTTGCAGAAGTGGTGGTTATAGAAAACAGAAGTGCATACAATTAGTAAGCTACTATAATACGAGTACTTTCATGGAATTGTTAAATTAATAGAGTGCGTTACTCGTTATATAGTAAGCAGTTTGTTTGATATGAAGTATATTCCTTTAAACCATTTTATACCAATCTGAGCTGATGCTCTTTTTCTGACATTTCAATCTCGATATAAATGCATTAATAAGTATTAATGAGACTGATTCAATGAATTTTTTTTTTGTCTCGTTTTAGGCAAGCAATGAAAGCGGTTCTTAGAGGTAAAGTTCCACCGGCATATTCACCTGAGTTTAGGCAAGCCCGAGTAAGCCCAGAACATCGCAGCAAGTTTTTGCCTGTTGGCCACTATATACCAACGTTACATTTAAGAAGTGAGCCACGCACACGCCCTTATGTATTGAAGAGAAAACAAAGGAAAGTTATTCGTAAACAAGGCGCATTAAAGATTAGAGACAAGAGGCGTAAGCAGCCACTCTCCTCTCCCAAAACTAGAAAGCAGACCGTTTCGTCCATGTACGTTGGGAAATTATCGAACGTGGTGCCTTTTAGGCGCCGTCGGCACCCTGACAGTGATTCTGATATGGATTCTGTTATTTTATTTTAATTGTATCATATATTTGGTGCAAAATTGGACCAGTGTTTATTTTATTTTCAAACTAACTAAATCTACAATCTTGCACGATATTTTTATGCTAGTTTTTATTCTATATGCCTCCAACAAAGGCAACAAAATTGCCCAATCTGTTTATATATGAAGGTCAGTGCAATAACATAAATATTATATTACATATGTACATAACAATGCATTATACACAGTATGAACCCACAAAATTACACACAGATACACATAGTAACGTTGATAGAGAGTGATATTAATAAATTGTTATTGTATCATAACAATAATTCTATATCTAAACACTTGCTTGTCGCCACTACGAGCTAGGGTAAGTGTTTGGATTGGAACACAGCCTGAGACTTTTAGCTCAGACCGCGTTCCGTTCACGAATGCTGTGATTATGAAGAGTGTGATGAGCACGATTATTTGTTTTATGTCTGTTTGTGTTATATCTATAACATCTATATATTTAGAAATATATAAGTATTAGCTTTTACCCACCCCTCCGCCCGCGTGTAGCCGATTATCGCGGTAAAGGAAGCTAGCCTATGTAACTTGCTGATAATGTAGATTTCCATTGGTGAAAGAATTTTTTAAATCGGTTTAGTGGTTAAGGCACACCCACCGTAACACACAATATACTTTTACTTTAAAAACTAAACAAACTCACTTACACGATTTTAATATAAGAATGGTTATTTATTTAGAAATATATGTCTAGCTTATATAGTTTTGCGCCCTGTTACGTTAGTCGATCTAAAATTATAGTCTCCAAAGGCGTTTAAATACGCTTCTGTCTACGTATGTAAGTTTCATAAAACAATATTACGGTATATATCTAGGTATATAACTTTATACATACAAAGACTCATGTCGTAGTCATGAAATTTTCAAATTAGGATAATACCTGTTTGCCATTGTTAAGATATAGATTCAGGTGTCTTTTATCAGCTCGAGTGGAGATCGTTTATGTTCAGTATGTATCGGTGAGCGGTGCTATCGTATTTCAGCAATCTCTTAGCGGATCGTATCATATCGGAAATTGAATTTCCGATTGGTTCTCGAGTGCACAACAGACTGTCTGTAATGGATGGTCCCGCAGTCCATGTTTCGCGAAGTTCATGAGAATGATAGATAGAAATACTTGCAAGGCGTATTTCAAATGTTTCGATGTGGAAATTGAAGAACATTGATGTAGTTCTTTCGCTTTTGTTTTCATTTTGAGTCATTTTGTTTTCCTTTTTTATCAATATTAGTTGTAGAAAGCGGAAAGTAGTCCTATTATTAAAAGTGATGTGAGTAGTTATACGTAACAACTATAATGAAACATAAACAGGTAGCAAGTGCTTGTTACACAGTCATTTATAGTTTCTATATGTACTCATTTATTTGTAATTAGACGGAGGAATATACTCGTATTACATACTCGTTTCCATAATGGTTTCGGTACCATAATGTCTATCTGTTTAACTTTAAAATTTCGAAAACACGGCAAATGTTATCTATATCTATACAAATAATGCATCAATAAGTATAAAGTCTGTTTGTAATGTCAAAATAATAGGTTTTTTCATACTCACACGGTTATTTGCACGATACCTATGTTTAAAAACCAGTAATAAATTTTTTTCCTGTCTGTCTGTTTGTTCCGGGTAATCTAAGCGGCTGGACCTATTTCGATAATATTTTACTACCAGGAAGCCGTCTATGTAAGGAGTAACTGGCTATTTTTTAACCGGCTTCAAAAAGGAAGTAATTCTTTGGAGACAGGCAACGGAACTCTTAAAAAAATGCCAGCAAATCAACTTTCGAGGAGTTAGTTACTCTGTACCATGGTCGCAATCAGTCACGAGGTCATGCCTCTGCTCCATACACGCTGGACATTCTGGCAGCATGTAAAACGTCATGACACCGCTCTGGCCATCGTAGTGGCAGTACCCTTGCGTTGGCTCTTTGCAGATCAGACACAGGGGACCTCCAAAGCCTCCTTTGCGTTATCCAATATCAGAGGGTCCCGTGTTTCCTATCGAGCCAATTCTCCATAACGCGTATTACGGTCGCAATAACAGCGTGCCAGAATTAAGCTGCCTCATAAAACTCTCGTATAGGATATTTGGGAACCCCACTCCCGCATTGAGTGATTTAAATTATACTTACACATCAACAGCCTATAATAGTCCACTGCTTGACATAGACCTCCTTAAATTATACTTGCTTACGTTTAATAAATTAATTATTAGGAAGGCTATTAACATTTGCATTTATTTTCGTACACTGACCAATTGATGTTACTATGATATGATAAAAATACATTAGACATGAAAATTATGTAAAACTTTCGTTTTCGTTTCGATATCTGTTTTTGCCGCCCCCTTGAAAATTCCGCCTGGGTGCTGTGTACGCTCTGCACACCCGTACCCGGCGGCCCTGAGGCAGCGCTTTTCAAACTCTGCGCGAACGAAGTCGCGGGTACCAGCGAGTTCTAAAATATATTATGAAAACTGTTTTTTTTTAAGAAAAATGTATTTTGCGTACGGTAACTGAAGCTATCACTGAACATGGTCCTTTAACAAATTAATACCTTTCTGCTACATCTGCTACAGATAGCACACTGCAAAGCATGCTTTGGAATAGATGCATGCAGAGAAAACAGTGACCCGTGTACTCTTAAGGGTTTGCAGCATACTGGGCTAAGTACCTCGTCTCGCTAGGGTTTATCTCCGAGATTATTCGAAACGTAATGTACTTCGAGGTGTTCGAGTGGCTCAAATAGCTTATATTCCTACTAACGCAAAAGCAGCCGTGTAAATCACACCAAATGTACCAAATCATTGTTATGACGACGGAGTATAAATAATAAAGAGCTCAGCAAGCAAGAGGTTAGTGAGCATTTCTTATTGGCGTCTTAAAGTTTACATTTTCAAAATGCTTTATCGTCAAAGAAAACTTCAATAATAAATGTAGTACAATTTGTGCATCAATTCACGACACGTTACTACAAGCACGTGTTGTTTGTACATGTTTTGACAGGTAATGTAATATGTAGTGAGAAATTGGGTTTGAGCCGAGCGGTATTGACGCGGGCATCTATATTGATGTTGACATGTTTGAAATAAAACGTGCTGCGGCCTCTAGATAAGGCATAATTTGAACATGTTTCATGAAGCGTGGGTTATACGGCATTACCCGGATCGAGTCTGTGTTGAACATGTCTGATAAGGCTTGTTAACGCATGTAGTGTCGAGTATTTTCATATTTCAATGTCAAATTCATTGTCCGTGCTCGAAATACGGTGATGTCAAAGGTATTAAGGACTATAACATCCGTATACTGTCAAAAAGCATGGCCGTCCTTAAAGCGCTGGAGCAGAGGGCAACAAAATGACCTCTGGTATTATCTTCGAATACCATCAAGCATTGGAGCAGCTTCTCACAACGAATGGGGTACTCCTCCGTGCTCGAAATGCCTGGTGCTTTACCAGAAATAATTATTATGAGTGTTCAAAACAGACTGGTCTGTTAGTTGAGCGGTTAAAGATTCTGACTGGTGAATTAGAATCGCGGCTTGTCAGGAGTTATAATAGTGCGATGCGTACAAACATTCGTTCTGTGTACGGTTATCGGCAGTCTGGTTACCACATTATAGGTTTTGCCTTGTTTGGGATCAGATGTCCATGTGTATGATGTGCCTAGTTATTACCATTAATTTATTGTTAAAATTATGGTTCATCTTGTATTTAGCCGTTTCTACTAATTCTGTTCTTTGATTCATTAGTTTCATATTCATACATGCATTTATGCATAGCGGCTAGTAAGTCTACCTTGGACAAACTTTTTTTGAGGGATAGGGATATTGTAGTACATGGTGAGTGTATAGTCAATCATAAATGGTTTTAAAGTTCAATATATATAGCTTCATTAAACATTATATTTTGTTTCGTTCTTAATTACAATGGAAACAATTTTTCCTTATATAAAATCTCATTTTAAATACAAACATGTTTTGATATCTGAACATACCTACTAACAGAATAAGGTAGTAGACAGATAAACATGAAGTGTTTACATTACATACATTACCTACTCATTTGATTATAAGCAGCGTTTTATTACAAGGTGGCTGTACCTGAATTTTCACCTCTTTTAAATATTGTATCCATAACATTCTGTAAACTCACAATAACTGGCTCCATGTGGACACGTTTTGAGGTTGCCCCTTACCTGACATCATCGCGTGTCCCCTGCGCCTGTCCCATTACACTTTGGAAACAACAAAATGTACTAAATAACAATTAACATAATCAAGACACTCCTGCTGTCCCTCAGGGCAAAGCGTGATGATATAAATAAAACAAGCTATTAACATGCGTTGTCCATTTCGTGATGTCTTCAAATTAGGCCGAACGATGCAATTTAAACTTGTACCAACAAAAGTACGTAGATTAAGGACGCAGAGGTCATAGTTCATTATTAGAGGACATTTCACTACTGGGACTTAATTTTCTACCGGGAAATTCAACGGCACTTGACAAAAATCCATGTCCAGCCCCAGAAATCACCTTAAAGTACTCATACATAAAGCTGATTTTAGAACTGAGATAGCACAGAATTTAGGGTTGTCGTCTACTGTTCAAGTTCCCAAGCATGATGTCTACTCCCTTTCTAAAATGTGTCAAGGGACAGTGAGATAGCCGATGAGTAACTTACTTAGCTCCTATAATGTATGCAAGGCGCTTAAGTTGTGCTTTGTTTTACTTGTCAACGAGTATATTGGAGCCATGTTTCATTGTTGGAGTTTGTTGCAGTAATATTATTTTTTGAAGATTTGTTAACTTTTGACAGCCCTTGATTGAGGTGACTCTTTATCTTAACATAAAACAATAAAACAAGTGTATGTATATATAATGTGCGGTTTTCTTGGTGTTTTTTTTTTTTTTTTTAATCATGTGAAGGAAAACTAGACACAGACACTACACCAAACCGCCTGGC